CTTTTCTTTCGCTGGAATGACTTTCAACCAATCTGATTTGAACATTCTGATCCAAGTTACTAATTTACAAAAAGAACGTATTAGGGCCGTATAACAGAAACGACCCAAACAAACTTTTGAATGTATTGGCAGGGTTGGAGCAAAACTTTTTTTTATTTAAAACAATTTATTTAAAACAATAACAGTTCAAAAACAATGATTTGGGGCTATTTTGTAGGATTTGGTATGTTTCGATCAAAAAAGATTTCAATTTTTTGTTCGAATCTTTCAACTCGACCTGATAAGTGTTGCGTACTTGCCATTGCAGCCAAGATACTCAAAATAGTCAACATAGCTGTTTTTCGGGGTTACGGGCTTAAGTTAGAACTTTGAATGGAGTTTATTCGCAGCATGCCTTAATGCAGTAATTTTAGCCAGGCGATATTTTTTCACTCAGCGTGATAATTTGTAGTGATGATCATTTGATGGTGAGACAAATACATTCCTTCTGATGAGAGTGTGTTCATTGACCAATAATCATTGTTCAGTTTTTCAACAATTTATATTTATTTTGAATTTGTATAATTTGAGTCATGTTTAGGATTTGAGTCATGCGCTGGAGTCATGCTTTGAGTCATGCGCTGGACATGTTTAGGATGTAAAAATAGTCGTTTTTCCGGGATACGCAGGTAAGATTACATCCATCAGAGGTTTCCAGTTTTTCAGTTATTCAACAAAACCAAAAAAAAATCAACCACGATAAGAAATGGGGGTCTTACGGTACGCATGTTTTGAATCGGTCTGGCTCTGCTGCACACAGTCCTTCGTAGTTCTCCTGAGTGAAGAGAGGCTGGTCCTTCTGATTTCCCGCTGGCTCATAAACACAAATTCCCAGAGAGGCCTCTTCTCTGCTTCTATGGTACAAACGTCCCATTGTGCAAACTATGGATTCAATCATTTGGTTCAAAGATTTCACAAATCAAATCAAATACAGTCGGCTCTTTTTTTCGTTCTCTTATTTTTGTAACATTAAACATCTCAGTTTTGAGGAGATTTGACTATTTTTGACCAGTATGACCGTTTTTATTTTTCAATCAAAAACTGCTCAAAACCGCCTAAACCGTGCAACAAATATGTTCCAGAACTCCTCAGACCGCTTGACCGCTTTCGAAATGCACCTGGAATTAGAAACACTACAGGGCAAAGATAATTCAGTCTACACACATCTGAACTGATTTTAATGGCCCCTGTACCAAAATCATTTGTCCGTTATCGTGGCGAGCGCAGAAAAATTGATTTGCTTTTTTCAGCCAAAAAAGATGAAATGAATGTTAAATTTTGTATAAAAATAACGGCATTCATAAGTGCATTTATATTTGTGAATGCCTTTCCGTACTTCGTTAGAGCAGATTAAAATTTTCCTGAAAAAAAACGAAAAAAATCAACTCAACATATGTAATTGTATTTACTACATTCATTGACACTGATGACACCATAATAATAAATAAACTCGTTTTCAAGAATGGAGCCGACTCAATTATTATATTCATTACTCAAAATGATATGAAAAACCCCAGCTTGAAAGAACATCAAACAGTCCATTTAGCTGCCTATCGAGTGGTACCTTCATAAACAAACAGCAGAGAAAATATTTGAATTTCCCAATAACAAAAAATGTTTACCAGAAGTTTGTTATCACAAATGTATAGAACCCGTATGCGATGCAGAATTCAATTTAGTTGAATACTTTGACAATTATATCAGTCTTCAAATACTTTTTTGTCTAATGCATAAGAAATATTGAAAGTTAAACGAAGTCTACTTTTAGATTTTTTTTGTTGTGGATTGTCATTTTTTCCGATTTTAAAAACCTGAATTTGGTATTTGAGTGAATTTGGTAGTTTGGTATTTGAGAATGAGTCATAAATTTTTTGATTGCTGGTTGCTTCAAAAATCAGCAAGCATGGGTGCTGACTCCTTAGGATTTCAGTCATTAAATTCCAGAGTTTATATAGTTGCAACTGGCTGAAGTAACAAAACCTAAATTTGTCTTTTTAGCTTTCGGAGACGGTCTGTTTTTTTTTACAAATCGAAGCAATTCCGAAACATTAGCCTTTGTTTGTTTTCAATTCTTACTAATTTGTTTCTAGTAGCAGTTCGATACAATCAGCACAACATATTCATATGTTAGTTGAATATAAACTTTGTAAATGATTAGAAGTTGCTTTTGAGTAAATATTCAAATGGTAATAATGGATAAAATCGAAAGATCATTGTAAACTTTTTAGAATATGAAACTTTTAAACTCAATTCATCAACCAGATAGATGTCAGAAAATTTCTAAGATGTTTCTAATTTTGGATTCTTTAATAATTTGGATAATTTTGGTCCCAGCTATACTTTTGTTGGTTTATCTTGGTTAACTGTTAATTCATTTTCAATTGGCCAAAATTTAGCACTTGAAAAATCTTTTGTGTTTGCGTCTTTTTCCAGGTTTTCTTGAGTTTTTTGAGTTTACACAAACACTTGGGAGATTGTTTGAATAGATTAGAAAAAATTGGGCCTAAAATTAACTCTTGTGGAACTCCATCGACGACAGGTTTTGAGCTCGATGTAATGTTCTTCTATACTACATATTGAAGTTGATTTTTGAGATACGATGATATAAATTTTTCCCTGTCTCCCCTTAATCCATAAGCTATGTATTTCTTTACCAGAACTCCAGAGTCAACGGTGTCAAAGCTTTTAACAAATTTTGCATTGTACAAGTCATTGGATCTTTGTTGCTCAAAAATTCGTAATACAATCATTTAATTCTACCACGGCTTCAATTGTTCATCTTTTAAAGCAAAAACCGAACTTTTCGTCAGCTTATTTTTTATGCTTGTATAAAAAATCAAACTATTGTGTATACGATATTTTTCCAATAAAAGTCGAAGTTAAAGGTATTGTTCTAAAGTTATTTGGCTTTTTCTGTGGTCCAATTTTGTGAACTGGTTTGAACTTGTTCATTTTTAAGCAGCTAGGAACATTGTTTTCAGACACTGATTTCTTAATAAGGAATGATATTCCTTTGACGCAATAAGAGAATTTAATTTTTTCATGAGCAAATTGCTTTGATTGTAGATAACCTGATTCAACTTGGCTTTAAATCTCTTGATAATAATGCATATTTTTTTTTCCAATCAAATTATTTTCTTAGACATAGTTTGTGCTTTCATTTTCATTTGGCAGAGCTAAATTTGTAGGCAGTTTGTTTTGTTTAGGTAACTGTAAGTGTTCATCAATTGATGCAGAATGGAAATTAACGATTAAGTGGAAGTAAATTTTTTTAGTTTGCTAATTTTGTTAGCTTTTTTTCATTAACAACATAAATTTAAAAACAATAAAAAGAATTTGAGTTCGATTGTAATCAATTAACTTATAGTATTGCTTTGGTTTTGCGACATACTATTTCTGTGGAAGGATTATCTTTATAGCGGCATGAAAACGCTTGTTTTTGGTACAAACATTTGTGACCCAGCGTTTTTGAATCGGAATTTTTGTTGGGTTTTGCAAAACGTTTGTTGAATACTTCGCTATGCTTCCAATGAAGCGGAACCAGTTGTCATTCAAAATTATACAGCGTAGTAAATCAATCTTCATAATTTTTGTAATTTTAATCGAGAATTAATAATTTGCTTTCAATAAAAAATTTACAGTTTCTAAATGTTTTAATTGCCTTTTCTAATTTTTGACTAGTTCTTCATTGCTCTGATTGAAACTTTTTGTAGGAAAAGTAATTTGAGCTGAGTGTTGATCTTTAACAATAAGGGCCTCAAAACTTGTTTGTTTATAAATCTTAGCATAAAAAGACCAAGGCAAGTCGAACATGTGTCCGGATTTCAAGTAATCTTAAGATCATTGACGAAATCTAGATCAAGTGTTTTTAAAGTTTTCTTGAGACAGGACATTAAGTTGATGTTTTTAGTCATGTCAATGTAAAAGCTGCAGCAGAGTACATTTGTTCTTTTTTGTTTTTTTTTGGTTGATGGCTGATTTCATTTGTGGTGATTTTTATTGTGTTATAACTACTAGAGAATAATTTTTGTCAAACATTTCCTTTTATGAAGATTTAGATAAGAAATGTGGCAACTCTACCTCTTCTCCACAATCTGTTAGTCATTCAAATAAAATGATTTTTTCCAACAAATTAAACCATGTCACTGTAAGTACAATTACTTACTGTTGTGAGTTTGGTTTCAAAAAATACTTAAAACTCATCAAAATTTTGAATCATTGATGTTATGCTGTACAAAAAAATTATGTTAGATCTCATTTTTGATTGGCTGTGCTTCAAGGTTGAAGCTTCAAATTTTTGAATAAGCCTTTTCTTTCTGTTTTTACTTTTTTTTTAAGATTTGTTAAATTAAATGAATAGTATTTGAAAAATTGAATTGAGTGGAGAAAGCATAATAAAATTAATAAAAACAAAATTGGTCGTTAAGAAATTTAAAGACTCCAGTTGTTTAGTTGTTGAAGTAAGCGTCAGGGTATTGGCGAGGCAGAAATTGCAACACCAACCTCTTGTAAGGCAGAGACAAATGAAAAAAAAATTGTCTTCGTTGCCTCAAAACTTAAAAAACAATATAGTAAGGAAGAAAAGCAAGAACTCGGATTGAAAGGAAGGCGCCTGAGAAACATGCGATAGCTTTCCTCTAACCGATAAAAGAGAAGTGACCACTCATACCAGATGAGTTTTTTTCGTTTGCCAAGTTCAATTAAAAAAACATGAAATACTTAAAATTGCATACCCCAGCTCCTCTGATGAATCACCTTATTTCAGTTTTTTGCTTGAATAGATTAGAAAGGAAAATTTGTTTTTTAATATAAATTTTTGAATTTTATTATAGGAAAAAAAATTTTTTTTATTGGAATACGCTACCCACAGCAAAGTTTTTCTCGGGAACCCTAATTGGATTTTTTATAGATCTGTTTGTTTTTTCTGCCGACACTTATGCTATGATATTTTCAAATTCAATTAGCGATGCCTGATCAAAAACAGCAAAAAAAAAAACGAAAACAAATTTCACGAAGTTTATTTTGTCCGTAAATGTCAGAAGCAATGTATGTTTGCTAACTGTATCAGAACATGAACACTTTTTTTGACAATTAAACCAAATTTAGCATCAGTTGGAAGTCAAACCTTCTCAGCTCACATCAGTTTGTTTCACTTTTTTTTTGAAGTTTTTTTTCAATCAGGCAAAAACTTGGCCTTTTGACGATTGAAACGATCTTCGATTCACAATATTTTGCAAACCTTTTGTTGTTACAAACACTCCGCCAATTCAATGATCTATTATCAAACTTTAATAGTTTTTCGTAATTGTTTTTTTAACTGCTACTGCGCAGTTATTCGATGATGTAATTTATCCTAGGCTTGTTATCTCGTTTCGTTCGTAATTTTGCGTCATGCGGTGGAAGCCTTTCGTTAAGGTAAGTCATCAGATCATTTATTGAAATTTTCTCCCAATAGTGTTTTTGTATTTTGTAAACGGTGGTTTCATCTTCAAAAAACACAAATTTAACAATTACACTAGCCATAAAATTATGAGGAAGTTTTTCATAGCCTGGCAGAATATGATACATTTTCCTTTTTTTATTTTGAGAACCCAATGAGTTCAAATCCAACTCGTAAAAACTTCGAAAATTTTCGTAAAAATGTTGCGTTCTTCTTAAATACTGTTCGGTATTCTTACGAATCTCGTTCATATCATGCACAACAATTTTTAGATCTCTAAACTTTTTCCCATCTCCTTTTTTTTTTTACCGGTTACCAGTTCGTCATAAACTTGCTGGATAGCATGCCGAGTTGAAACATCATCCACAGTCACCGGGAGCGATTCCATTTTGTTCATAGTCCACGGTAATTATCGCAATTTTTTAAAATAACAAATGAGATAAATTAATTGAAATTGAGCAATTCTAGAAGATCTTGGCGTAATTAATTTTTCAGTTTTTTAAAATAAAAGCTATGGGAACCTTTGTCATAAAACTGGGTCGTTCAACGTCCAAAAATTAGCAATTAAAGAGTTTCCATAACAAAATTGCGAGGTTTTACTCTGATCCAATATTTTTTTAATTTTTCAATTCAATGGCTTTCAGACATTTGAAGTTATTTTTTCACAACATAAAGCAATCAAAGAAAACGACTGATTTAGCTACTCTTTTTTTTCTATTTAATAATTTAAACACAAAAGTTAGGCTAAAAGCCCATACACATAAACTGCTTGAGCCGGTTGTTTCATAAAATTTCTGCAACATTCTTCTTAAAAGTTCGGTGAAAAAGCAGAAGGTAGAAAAAAAGGATGAAGAGGATTCGTTAATGATTGCAAAAAAAAACTGTAGGATGTAGTAAAATGACAAAAAAAACATGAATTGGTCTGAATAATAAAAAAAACTCAGTTAGTTTTTTCAGAAAGTTGCGAGAATGAATATGGAATAGTCGAATTGAAGAGGATTCCGATCAAATTGTTATAAAATTTTCTCTGTGAACTTCATAAAAAAATTGATAAGGGCTTTTTATATAATGTGACTAAGTTAGGTTGGCTGAATAATATCGAATACCATTTTACTTTACGATTGCCTTACATAACTTTGGCAGTTATTATCTAGAGTATTTATGAAGCCTTACTTAACAACAACCCTTCTATATCCACCTGCAACGATTTCAACGAAATTTTAGGCAGAAAGTTCTCTTAAAACTGCTTCAAAACAACCGGTTTTTTTAGCAGTTTTTTAGTGTCAATGGAATTAGTGAAGACGCTAACATAGGTCGTATTGCTTTCTTAATTTAAAAAGTCCTGAGTGCTCTTATAAGTACAGAAGCGCATTCATAGATATACATGCACTTCTGAAAACCACTAATCAAACATGCCATCTGAAGTTCAATTCAACTTTGTTTGCTGAAAAAAGGCAAATAATCTTTTCTAACTACGGAGGTGAGAACGACGCGAAAAAAAACATACTAGTTTTGAAGATGGATTTTATTTTTAGATTTTCTCGGCAGAATACAATTTTTACCTTTTGGTTTAGTTTTATTAATCTGGGTTAATTTAATCGAAAAATATCCAATCCAAAAAAATCATTTCCTTTCAAAACTGACAGCCAAACTATTCCAAAGGGTCCCCCTTTCGGTACTATATTTCATGAAATCCAGTTTTGGTCGACCAGTCCTAAAAACGATCAAAAGATGTCTTCGGCAACAATATAAGTAACATGTGAGAACGAAAGCGCGCCAAAAAACGCGCCCCTCAAAATTTGTATATATTGGCGCCTTTAGAAAATTTTTAGGTTCGATCAGCCAAAAACTGATCACATCAGGAAATAGTAACAGAGGAGAGATCCCTTGAAAAAACTGCCCTCTTCCCGTCTAATGCATTTGGTTTCATACTGACACAATTTTGACGATAAAAATGGCAACCGCAAAAATAGGATGGAGGATTTGCATTAATGTATTTTAAAAATTTTGCTGACAGAAATTAAGGGTTGAAAGGTTTGATTTAGCTACTTGGATTTCAAAACGAAGTCAAACCGGTGTGCCTGATATTTATGTTAGCCCTTTGAATTTATTACGAGGCTTTCAGAAGCATTACGCAATTATTCTGTAATTCGGATGTCTGCTCTATCGGATGTTTGCACGTTACTTTTCCTGCTCTTCGTTTTTGCATCTATGCACTGCACACCCTATTCGCTCTGTCTCATTCCACATCATCTGAAACGCACTCAAGTGCGACAAAAAACTAAACGCTAAAAGATTTCTTTTATCAACATTATGCATAGGAGGCCTTGCAAATTACTCAGACTACATGAACAAATCAATGGCATGCATTTGATGTACTTTTCAGTCCTCAAAAACTGTATATTTTACTTTAAAAAACGTATTTTACCTGTGTGAAGTGTCTGACATCCTCCAAGTCTGTTTTGGAGCAGTAGAGGAAGCTGTTATTCGGTCCCGGGTACTCGTAGTCCGAGATCTCATCGTACCACCACTGACACCCTACCCTGATAATGTCTGCCCTTGTAGTCGACATCTCATCCAGACTCGTGTAAATGTTCACTCCTGTAGTCAAACTATATTAACTAGTTCAGTAGTTCACTACTATATGATCATGAACAAAACTTCCGTGGATTCCGTGTACAACTACTTGTAACGTAAATTTTGTCGGCATATTTGTTGTGTCGCGGATTCCGCAACAAGCAAAAATAGCTAGCTGTTCTGAATTCCGCAACTATAGGTGGGTTCTACCAAATGCAAGTGGAATCCGCAAATTTAAGTGGAATCCATAAAATTTTTAAGCGGAATCCGCAGATTGTAAGTGAATTCCGAATTTTGTTTATTACTGAACTTGCATATGAACAATTAAAAGATATAGCTGGAATTCTTATCTGTAACAATCTGGAATTTGAATTGTCAGCGGAATCAACGAACAAATCTCAAAACATTGGTTAACTAAGTCGGTGAATGTCACCTTTTAGTATTTTGGAAACAAAACTACGAATAATTTCAATATTTGAAGTCATTGGGTTTAGAGTGTTTGGATAGACAAGGCACAGCATATCGCCAAATTAGGTCAGTAGTTGTGATGGCATCAATCCCAAATACTGAATTTGGAATCACAACGCCGAAAATACACAACACCGAATAAATTGTGTTTTGGAAACACAACGCCTAGCGTATCACCGAGTTTGGTCGGTATTTCGGATTGCATCAATCCCAAATTCTGGTCATTATTTGGGATTCAATCAATCCCCAATTTCGATCTTGTAGATTCCGATTCTATTGCAATCATGAGGGTAGTATTTGAGATGAGTTGAAAGTGAAATCAAATCATGAGGGCAGTTTTTTGGTCTGAATATATGCTACATTTCTCTGAATAGATGAGTAAACAAAAGATATAAATTTAAACGCTAAGCTAAATATATACATACAATTAAACGGACTCGCAAACAAAATGCGGACTCCACTTACTGTTTGCAGATTCCACTTACAGTTTACACTTTCCGCAAGAGCTCAACTTAACTACACACATGTCTTTTTACTTGTTTGTGGATTCCACAAACTATTCTTGATTCCGCAAATACGGTTGCAGCTTCCGCAAACTCACCTATCTTGAAGCAAATTTGAGCGGTAGAGTGTCTTAGGTGTTTGTTTATGAAATCCAAAACAGCAAAGAAAATCAAAGAAAAAGGGAAATTAACAATGTTGCGGATTCCGCAACTAACTTGACTTTGGCCTGTTACAATGCACAGAATGCAAAGTTTGGCCTCGTAATATAAAGTTTGCATTTTGAACAAACGCGCACATAAAATTGATTGGAGCAATTTTTTTGTTGGCATGCATTTGAATGCTGTTAATAATCTAAGCTAACATATGTTTAATAGTTTTTCTCTAAATAAACTTAATTTTCTATAAATCTAAAGTATACTCAAAGTATTCCTCAAAATCTTCAAGTTAGCGTAGTTTTTTCTGGGTGGTATGGTTTGAGGATTTAACAAAAACGTAGAAATTTAGTGAATTATACATAAAAATTTAAAACTGTCTTCGAATAATGAATAAACGAAAAAAAACTTGAAAAAACTTTTTTCGTTACTTTTTGCACTAAAAATTTTAACATTGGATGGAAACTTTGTAGTCAAGGAAGCGCTTTTTAAGCTTCAAAAAACGTTTTTTTTAGTAAAATCAAGCTTGTTTTTAGCAGAGAGCCAACATTTACATATAACGACGTTGCTCGATTGGACTAAGACTTAAAAATTTTAAACCGGTTTTTCTCAACATTGGGAAACAATTTTGGAAGTTTTATAATGTTCGAATCACGACTGAAAGGGCTTTAAAATGATTTATCCCGACCCATTCTGATGATTATTTGTGTTACTTGATTTTGCGTGGAAAACAAAAAGAAAAAAGGAAAAAACTTAAACACACCCGAATACAAAGTTCCTCCACATTATTCAATTGGTGGGAACAACAACTGAATAGTTAAATTTAACATTTATTGTATTTCACGATGAACAAGCTTATATTTCGATCGATACACCCGAATACAAAGTTCCTCCGCATTATTCAATTGGTCGGAGCAGCAACTGAACTGTAAATTTAATATTTAATGTAATTCACGAACAACAAGCTTATATTTCGATCAACAGCCTTTATCAACAACGCAACTTCAAAACAAAATCACCCATCAGAGAACTTCATACCCCGCCTCGGTACTCTTAGTTTGATTAAAACAAATTCAGATGTTGCCATCTTATCAGATCAGCTTCAATCACAAAGAAACAATTGGAAAAACTTCTTGCAATCGTAAGAAAAATCACAAAACTCCTTTCTGTTCCGACCATTGAAAATGCTGAAAAACTGTGTATTCTTGTGTAATTAATTTATCTTTTTCCACGCAAAATCAGGTACTACAAAATTTTTTTAAATGAGTCGAGTGATAAATCATATTAATGAATGATTTTTAGTCGTGATTCGAATAACATTTAAAAAAACTTTCATGAAGTTGTCCATGTGTAGAGAAAAACTGGCTTAAAAATTTTTGGTTGTTAGTCTATATTCGAGAAAAAAACGAGTAAACAGGCTTGGAATAGGCGTAAAATCTTATTTATGCTAAATTTAAGACAGAATTTTTAATTTACGCGACTAGCAGGGACGGATCTAGGATTTTCTCGAGGGGGGGGCGGATTTTCAAAAAAATAATAAAATTTCGAAAGTTTTGTCAACTTTTTTTAAGTCAAGAACGAATTTATCTTTCGAGCTATCCTTAAGCATGGTTTACGGTTTAGACCCTGTTTTGTGCAAATTTTTTTTTCTGCTCCGCAGACAAAATTAAAAAAAAAATAGTTCAAAAAAGGCGTTTTAGGCATTTTTTGGAAAATTTTGACCAAAAGTTTGCGTTTTTTCGGCGCGCGCTCCCCCTCAAAATTAGTATATCTTTGGGTCGGCAGGGGGTCGAATCCCTGAGGGGGGGGGGCGTCCGCCCCCGCCCCCTCCCCATCGCCTAAATCCGCCCCTGGCGACTAGGTTAGTACTTAATCGCCAAAATTTTCTGCAAAAAAAATGAAATAATTTTCGAAAGTGTTTTTGATTTTTTAGTGTTTTTGTTGTTTTTCTTATCGGCTATTTTTCTTAAAAAAGCTGTTCAACAGATTGCCTGTTTTTTATTACTGTCAAATACGACTATATTCTAATTTTTTGTTCAGATCGTTTTTTCACACTTTTTTTGTCACACAGAAAAAACGACAAAAATTTTAAAACAAGTTATTTTAAGACAATGGTTGGATCATTATGTGCTACTTGCACAGTAACCGGCTACCACTGCTGCTCCCTGCTCCTAGTTGTTCATAATTTTCCCAGCCAATGGTCGCTCATTGCCTTACCCACCACGTTTCCTTTCTTATAATATCAGGCGGCATCGGAGGCCAATCCAGCCACAATTATATAATCTTTGGTTTGTTGTAGATAGTTTTTAATGCTTGTTTTTTTTTGCTTTTTTAACAAGGGTTAATTCAACAAACAGACACTTTTTTGAAGTGCAAGGTTTGAGAATTCTTTTCTGGTCAGAGTAAATTCAGCTTTTTGAGCACTCAGATTAATTTGACTTTCCAGCAGATTTTTTGCAATTGCGTGATTTGAATTGACTAGCGTATCGTTGGAATATTGGACAGAAAGCGTTGTTCCAGCGTTACCGGCATTTTAATGGAAAAATATAAGTGCAATTTGTAGGTAAAAACATAATTGAACCAATAATCGTTTATAGGGTTGTCATTAACTTTGCTTTGTTTTCCGCACAGTGTTATATATCAGGGGTGCCGGACATCAAGCCGACGGGACTTCAAGCCGAATCGTAAAATTTTGTCTAAATTTCTTTATTTTCTGATCGTCTAACTTCCTAAACCCCGTTACCTACACATAACATTTCCAAATTAATTTCAAGTTTTCAAACTGATTTCACAAAAACTAAATCTCATTTCAACAAGTATCACTCATATGGTACTCGCTTAGATGTCTGCTCCTACCATTTTTAGTGAGTCCCATTCAAAATTTGGTTTTAAAGTGTGGTCTGCCAGACCACTTCAAATATACTTTAAGCGGATTAAACAAAACAGCAGTTTTTCAAGTGAAGGAAAGCTATTGTCATGTAAATTAGAGATGGCGTCCCTCATGATGGGTGCCGGACATCAAGCTGACGGGACTTCAAGCCGAATTGTAAAATAAGGGACTTCAAGCCGAAAATTTTCCAATCAAGTCATGAAATATGATGAATTTGACAACGTTTTTGAAGAATTACTCAATGTTATTATCTTTCTTCAGTAGTTAATGGCGTTTTCCTGAAATTTAAGCCTCCAAATGATGTTTAGGAAAACTGAAAAATAAAACACTGTTGAAAGCAATTTTCTTGTTTATTATTTATGCATTTCAAAAACCGTCTGAAATTATTAACGGACGCCAATCCTAAGTGATTCATTGTCATAAATCACGATTAAAATGGACTAAACTTGCCTACATTTTTGAAAAGCAACGTTTTACAGATGAAAAAATTGTAATTTGAGGTGCTTGTAAAGTTTAAATTTCGGCCTGAAGTCCCTTCGGCATGAAGTCTCGTCGGCTTGTTGTCCTAGACCCATATATCAGGAAGTGCGGTCTATAGTTAGACAACGGAGTGATCGTTCTCGTCAATAAGCACAAAAGTTCTAAATAGACCAATAAGAATCGATTCAAGAAAGCAATGCCTTCCATGTCTCAATTCGACTGGACAAGTTTTGTTTGTCTGCTCTCTATGAGGAGTATGAATACTACGTGGTTGTCTAAATACTACTATAAAAAACTTTCTAAATCAGTCAAGTGATAAATCGCATTAAAAAATTTTTGATTGTGATTCGAATGGCATTTAAAAAATTCAAAAACTGGTTTAAAATTTGGCAAGATAAGAAGGAGACAAAAGAGAGAGAAACTGCAGCAGAATCGAGAGAGGGCAATGGTATTCAGTCAAAAGGGAGGATTGCAGA